CTGGGGTACAGGTCAGAGTTTCTGGGGGTGAGAGGATTTACCAGAGACAGAATGGGGAGCAGAGCAGGATTTATTGAAAAACACTGCTGAGGGGAGCAGCAGGCAAGACAGGAGAGGTCTGCTGCACCATGTGGGTTAGTTCACTGGCCTCATGGAACTCATGCTGCAGTGGCTGCCTATAGCTTGATAGTGTTGCAACTTAACCCATGCGCCACCAGGGAGACCCCTATTATCCTTTTAATATCTATGTGATTTATGTCCTTTCTTTCATTTCTCATGTTAATAATCATGTCCTCTCTTTTTCTGTGCTAGACTGACTAGAGGCTTATCAGTTTTACTGATCTCTTCAAAAAATCAGCTTTGGCTTTCATTGATTTTCTCACTGATTCCCAGTTTCCAAATTCATTGATTTCTGCTCTCAGGGGGAGGCATTTTCAAAAACTGATTGTGTATATTTAGAGTACAGGTTTTCTGAAAGTTCAAAAGCAGATCATTAGGCAGGAATTCTTTTTATTAACTGGTACTTTCACCGTTAAATCTTCACTGACATTTGCCTTTCAACATTTGGACTATACTATTTTAGAAGTAATTTTTTTTTCGTAAAAATGTATAAGGCACTTTATAAATGTTATCTAAAAGTAGAAACACCATCATTATGAATCCACTTAACAAGGGAATAGCAGGTAAAATTTAATTATAATAACAAAAAATGCAGTACTGATAGTTTTGTAACTAACCAGTGAATTCTGACAGAATTTTTTTTTTTTTTTTTTTAATTTGTGGATAAGGGTGAATGTAGGTAGCTGCGGAGCAGGTCAAAGGCCTAGAAAAAAACCTCAGATTATTTTATTTAGATTGGGAAGACTGAATGATTATATTTTCTTTAGCTATGGGCAGTTCTGTATTTCTAAGATTTCACCTATGTGTTAACATATATGTTTTAAAAAGAGAAACTGAAATATCATTTTATGATGTTCTGCTCATAGAACAAATGATAGGAAATTGATTAAAACTGCATAACAATAGGTCCAGTAGGTACAGATCCTGAGACAAGGCTTGAGAATTTCATGATATGAATTTGTTATGTAAGCATGCACACAGGATGTCCCTCACTCTGATCTGAATCATACATAAATCACGAACATGTATAGTATGTTTGTTTTTTCTCTAAAACATATTACTGTGAGTCATCACCTTTCCTTTACATTTCTTAAACTTCACTAAGAAACTAATCTTGAATACATTTGAGCCTAGGAAGGAATGACTCTATTTCAAAATTGAGAGCATATTTTAAGATAATTTCTATTAATTTGAGTGGTTATTATGAAAAATATAAAATTGCTTTAGCCTATTTAACTATTATACTTTTTGTTTTCATATGATAATTCTTATAAACTTGTTATCTGTACTAGGCATGTTTTTCCCCTAAGTGATAAATAGTTGCTCTTTAGAATTCTTTTGCCATTTCACTTGTTAAAAGTAATTATCTGTGAATAATTCTTACAGCTTTGAAGCATTTCAGGATTCATCTTTTTTGGAATAGAAATGGGATTTATCAGATTATTGATAATAATGTTCATCTTGTGGAATTCAAATATTTTATATTGGTGCCAGGAAAATAAAATTAAATTGAGTATTAATTTTTGCTCCAAGAATCTTAGTATAAAATATAGATACTTTAGATTGAAAGCAATATATATATATTTTTTTTAAAGATTTATTTATTTATTTATTTATACAAGCACTGGGTACAGTCAGAAGCGCTGGAGGGTGAGAGAATTCACCAGAGCCAGAGCGGGAAACAGAACAGGCAGACCGACGAAATACACTGCTGAGGGACCAGCGGGTGGCAGGAGAGGTCTGCACGCCATGTGGGACCCTCACCTGGTGGCTGGGGATCGAACCAGCACTGCAGAGGCTGTGGGCAGCTTCACAACCCAGCGCTCAACCACTGCACCACCGGGGAGGCCCTGAAAACAATATTTAATGGAGATTCAAAGTTTGACTTGGCTGAGTCTCTACCTTATAAACATGTATTTATCTAGAAAATGGTGAATGCACAGACAACACTGTTCTTATCAAGAACCACTCCTCTCCAAGAGCCTTATGGAATTAGCCAACTAGATTTTGAACACACACAGTCTCAAATTTGACTCTCTTGGAGTCCCTTAGAATATCTGATTTTTAGATCTCAATGGGTTATAAAGAAAAATACCATTAAAAATACTTACAGAAAATTGCTCCTTAAAAGAAAAGATTACATTGCAAAGACTTTTATTCTTTTTTTTTTATTTTTATTTTTAACTTCATATACCTTCTTTGGAGGAATGAATTAAGGAATGATGGTTTCAGTATGGTTTGAAACTTTGAAAGCTGCATTTTATATCTCTCTATGGGGAAAGACTTCCTTATGTGGTATTTTGAAGGAATTTAGTATGTGAGTACCTATTTTATTATGTTAATATGGGCAAATAATTTTAATTCTCACCACAAACTTATGAGTCGAATATTAGTATGAGTAACATCCCAAAAGCAGACAACTGGGTAAACCGCACCACCTAACCCCATAGTCTACACTTGGTAGGATGAAATGGGTAGGATGAGATGAGAAAGGTGTGAGCAGAGGGTATGGAGAGCAAGGGTCTGGAGATTTATAAAATATTTTCTGCCAGCCAGGCTGGCAATGGAGTAGGTTTCTCAAATTATACAGTTACTAAAGCAAATCCTCATGTGACCTTAACCCATTGAATGACTTTGAGGAAGTTGGTTAGTTTCCCTGAAGCTCTTTACATCCATAAGGGGACCTGGTGTTGCCTCTGATAAACTGCTCCACTAGGATTGATTTAGTCTAGTTAATGGTGAATCCCTCTTTTATAATTTTCTGAAATAGAAATAATCCCTAGTAATAAGTCTGCCACTTGTCCTTCCAGTGCACACATTCACACAGGGGCTCCTTAACCTTCCTTGTGCCCTGGGCACCTTTGGCATTTTGCTGAAGTCTTTGACCACTTATCGGAGTAATACTTGTAAATGCATAAAATGAATATATAGAATTACAATGAAAACCAATTACACTGAAACACTATTATCAGTATGTTAGAAATTGTAATGTATAATGATTTTCCATGGTTATTAACACATTAAATAAGATTTAGTGGTAAGTTCAATAACTACTATTATTTTGAAGCAATGAGGAACATAAGCATTATTTCTAGATGTCTATACCAATAATGATTGCTATAAAAATAACTACAACATATATATAGGCACTACTGAAAATGGGATGGTTTGTCTATATTCATGATTGAAGAAAATGCTGAATTTTAGCTAGAGGTTAGTAAAAATAAGGACATGATTTTTTCTATTCATGTTTTCATGACTCCTTAAATCATATCTGTACCCCATGTTAAGAACCTCTGAACTAAGTGGTTCATGGCTTCAGATTCGATGAAAAATGTCTTGGGATTTTTTTTCCTCATCAAAATTTTATTGATTTGCCATGTGTTTATACAAAAATATGTAAGTTTGAGAGTGCAACTTCACACCTCAGCATATGGACATGTTTCACTTGTCTTCCACCAAATCTCCAGAAACCACCCACTATCAGCTTGCCCTCCCCTCCCATCAGGATCCTCCCTCACCCCCACTAGTGGTGAGTGGTTTTCCCAGAGTCTAAGAGTTGTTTATGTTGAGTATTTCTTTTATTTCTTTTGTTATTTATATTCCAAGAATGAAAGAAACCATCTGTAACAGTCTTTTTCCTCAGACTTTCAATGAATCTTTTAGTTTAAAAACTTGGGAAAGTTGATTACTTAAAAGTATTGTATTCCTATTCATGGTCATTGTAGTCTACATTTATCTAGTTTTTCTTTAATATCCTTCAGTACAATTTTCACAATAATTTTATAAATTCTCTTTTATAAGATTCATACTTACTGTATAGCTTATATTACTAATTGCTATTTTATTGCGTTTGCTTTGTAACTATAGAGTTTAAAATAGCTTTTGTATATTGAATCATTAAGCTAGTCAATTACTTTTTACCTATGCAAGCATCATCTCAAAATAACAATTGCCTCCCACCTCTAATCTATGATTTTTTTTTTTTACATTTTCCTATGTATTGATAAGATGTTCAGTGAAATGTTCAGTAGAAACAGTGATTACTGTTCTTCCTGATTTTAAAGATAATACTGACTTTTTCCACTCAGGAACAGATTTAGGGTCAATTTTTAGGAGCTGGCAAGACCCAATCAGTAACTTTTCATTATTTTTGCAAGCCAGTTCTTAAAATACAGCCACTATTAAAATTAAATCACAGGGCCTCCCTGGTGGTGCAGGCGGTTGAGTGCCATGCTGTGAAGCTGTCCGCAGCCTCTGCAGTGCGGGTTTCATCCTGGCCAGCTGGCGGGCAAGAATCCCACATGGCGCGGCAGACCTCTCCTGTCTCGCCCGCTGCTCCCTTCAGCAGTGCATTTCGTCAGTCTGCCTGTTCTGTTCCCCACTCTGTCTCTGGTGAATCCTCTCACCATCCTGTGCATCTGGCCTGTACCCCAGCACTTGTATAAATAAAAAATTTAAAAATCTTAAATTAAATTAAATTAAATTAAATTACATAAAATTACAATTTAGTAAATCACTTTAAAAAGAAAAGTAATAAATTTTCCAAACTCAACACTTACTTTATTTTGAGGCTATTGGTATTTGCAGGATGGAAGTACTGTATGTAATCGATGTTATGCCAACTCGATGGTTAGTGATGTGTCATTGACAGCGATGAACTGGCTGCAATTGGAATACTTATACTTTGGAAAGTGACAAATGCTACCAATCAAGGTTTTTATTTTTCTTAAGTAAATGTTGTTAAACAATACAAGGTTTTCAGTTTGCTATAGGTTCTAGCATTTTCCTTGCCTATGAGCTAAAAAGAAAGGCATAGTGGGAGGAAGAAGAAAAGAAAACTCGTCAATGTGTTAATCTGAACATGGCGTTTCCCACAGATACCTGTGATACTCCGCTGGCATCTGCCCTGCCCCGGGAATCATTCAGTAGCTCCTCTGAGCTGTCTCCAAGCCATGGCCCCGGATTTGCCAGTCTTAATCGCAGAGATGGTGAGTCGGCTGTTATCATTTTGTTACTCCACCATAATTCAATTCCAGAGAGAATGATCTCCATTTTTAGTATTCATTCTTAAAGCTCAAAAATTATTATGCAATTTAATGAAAGTGAAGACAATACCTTCATCATGTTATGATTTACTAGCTTTCTTTGTTCACTATAGAATTTTGGAGGGATTATTTTTTTTGATATCTTTATTCTCTACTGATTGCTCACAAATAGTCACAAATAGGAAAGGAATTATATTTAAATTTCTTTTATTTTCTCATGGTAATATTGTTTTATATCACTATATTATTTCATAGATGAAGGAACACACTTCTTGGATGTACAAGTAGAATTCATTAAATACTAGATTATTTCCAATTTTATCATCTTTTAATTTTAGAGCAGGCTATAGTAAAGGCTAGTGCTGGTCATGAATAATTCAAAAAAACAAGTAAATAAGCCACTTATAGCCCCTGTGGTAAAACTATACAAGTCACTGTATTGTTTCTGTGGGGTGTGAAGATGCCATAGAATATGATGGGAATATAACTCCATTTCCAACACTTGGCTTGGGAGACCAGGTGACGCTTTGTGATGAAAATAGAGTCCCTTCCTTAGTTTGGAAGGGAGCCATTGCCTTATTTTTTGGGTATGTGCTAATCGATTCATACTACTTGGGTGTCATTGAATAAATTGTTTCTTCTACTGCACAAATAATAGTTCTATGGATTAAATAACTTAATTCATACACTTAAAATTCAAATGTTTCACCAACTTTTAGAGGATTTTTTTTTAAATAAAAGATTAGTTCAGACAGTAAAAATTTCAATTAACATTTGGAGCTTTGTCAGTGTTACTTACTAATTTTTTTTTTTTTTTGGCCAGAGTGACTGAGCTTCCAAAATTTTTAGTTACAGTGACAAATATTTTAAATACCATAGTTTCAGCAGGAATTTGATATGTAATAGCTCACCAATACATTTCTGTGGTATATTAAGTTGGCAAGAGATTTCTCATATATAGGTATTGCTATAAATTCTGAAGGTATTATTATGGAATTGAGCATTTCTCTCCCTTTCTTTTGTGTTTTGAAGATAATAGTTTAAGAAAGTCTTGAATCATATGTGGGCACCTGGATTAAACAGATTGCTAAGGAAGAGTTGGAAGACAGAAAGCTTAGGGTAGGAGAGCATGTCCATATCTACCCTCCATGGTCCTTTACCATGAAAAAGATATGAGTAAGAGGAGCTTACTCCTCAACGCACTATGCACTATTCATAATTAGTTTTGCCATCCCAAACAAATACCTTGTGATTGAAACCAGACTTCAAGTAAAAATTAAATTATCAAACTAAACATTTTTGGTTTGGTGATTGATATTAACTTAAAATCTAAAATTTCCAGTAGTTACCGGGAGATTGTAAAAACTAAAAGAATTCTGTATTTAATTAGTTTAAAGAAACCCAAGGGGATTGTGAATTGTGTTTCTGGTTTTCAGGGAGAGAAAATTGTGATTCAGACCTTTAGTGATGTCAGTGTCATGGCTTGGGAAGTTTATAGATAGGTTACATGGAAACTCCTAAAGTTAAAATTGACTTGGGCCTCCCTGGTGGCTCAGGGGTTATATATCAGCACTGTCACCACTATGGCCTGAGTTTGATCCCCAGCAAGGGCTCAAACTGCTCCCCTTAGCAGTGTATTTTAGTAAATCTGCCTGTTCTACTCCCTACTCTGTCTCTGGTGAATCCTCTCACCACCCCCACTCCCAGCACCTCTGGCCTACACCCCAGTTCTTCTACACAAATTAAAATAATAATAATAATAATAATTTATAGAAGGAAAATTTTTAAATAAATAAATAAAATTGACTTGTTTCCATTACAGTTAATTAAATAAACTAATAGCCCTGAATGTGATAAGCAGTCATTATAAAATGGTACTAAAAACCATACTTCTTTATATGGACTACTCTTTTGGAAAATTTGTTAGTTTTCTAAAGACAGTGGTAGTCAGAAGATGAGGGTTTTTTTATGTTTTTTTTCTCTAATTGCATACAATATGCATTTCACTAAATATCCCTTGATAGCATCTCCTGATCTCATACCCATTATTAAGGCATGACTTAGATAACACAATTTGTCATTATTTTTCTGAAGGATTACCTATATGTATGTTTTCTGTTAAAAGTCAGCATCTCAGAGTATGGCTGGGCATTTACTTTGTTTTTGTAAATGCTAGTTAACTTCAGTTTAGATTATTATAATAAAAGATATGGCAGTATAAAATAAAGATTACTATAATGGTGACAGTGACTTTTCCTATGTAGGAGTTTCAGTTTTCTTGGCAATTCTGTGTATGATCTAATGATGAAAATCATGTGAGATTACCTGATTTTTTTAATTTATTTTATTTTTTAATTTATATCTTTTCCATCAATGTGTATTCCCCATAAAATTCCCACCAATTCACCCATGAACCATCACCATAATCCCTTGTGCTCTTCTCTTTCTGTTTTTTTTTAATATTTTATTTTATATAATTCTTACATCATTTTTCATTTTTTGCACAATGTATCTATTTTCATAACCTAAATAAGGGACCAGGAAAAAGACTAATTAATACAAAGTAAAAATCAAAATCAACAAGCAACTATAAACCAGAGACACATTACAGGGGCGGGGGGCTTGGGGGGAGCAGAGGTGGGGAGAGGAAGGATTAGGGTCAAAATAAGGGGGGGTACAATTGTATGGGGAATATAACCTAAACGAGATTATGTGATTTTTATTTTAAAAATTACTTGGTCTATGTGATGGCATTTGGAGACTTTTGAAGCATGTGGTCAGTCTTACATTCTTAATTTTTTATTTTGAAGTAATTGAACTTCAAGAACTTTTAGTTACAATTCGAAATGTCCTGGCACCATAACATCTACAAGGATTTTATCTGTAACAGCTGATCATTGCATCTACAAGATGCATAAAGGTGATAAAAATAAAAATGATAAGAAAATAGTCAATCCGTGATTTTTGTCTATATATAAAAATTTGAGCCAGTGTGCAATTCCTATAAAGACAAATAATTAAAAATTTAAAGTTTTTTAAAGTCCTTCATTGATTCAATACATGGAAAATATTAATTAATAAGAATTTATTGTATATTTTATGTTTCCTACTGTATGTATTTATTACTTACACATATTATTTATGTATTTATTTGGTTTTCTATTAATTTTAACTAATGGGGTCATATCATTGCTCATCATGGTTCTAAGTGCTTCTGAGCTCCTACTTTGAGGTCTGAGGTTAGGTTCCAGATAACATATTTAATAAAATGTCCACATTGATGTAATACAAGGTACATTTGTCTTTCTATACAAAGCAACATTAGTGGCTAAAAAGTTAGCATCTCCAAATACCTTAATTATCATTTTTTAGCTTATAAATTTTATGATGTAAAACCCATTTTTTTCAGACACATTTATTTATTCATATTCCTGCTAATGACAATTGATGCCATTACATAGAAATGTAAAGTTCTTTGAAAATTGGGTTTGATTAATTAGACTTGATGAAACTCTGTTTTCATCCATATTAAACTGATATATCCCAAATTACAAGTTATCTAATATTTTTCATATAAAGGCAAGATTGCTGAAATCTGTATGTTATAAATAAGAACATGTTCTAATAGTGACTGTTTCATCCATATTAAACTGACATATCCTAAATTTCAAGATATCTAATATTTTTCATATAAAGGCAAGATTGCTGAAATCTGTATGTTATAAATAAGAACATGTTCTAATAGTGACTGTTTCATCCATATTAAACTGATAATATCCTAAATTTCAAGATATCTAATATTTTTCATATAAAGGCAAGATTGCTGAAATCTGTGTTATAAATAAGAACATGTTCTAATAGTGACTTCATATTTTCCTTCTGTTTCATCCATATTAAACTGATATATCCTAAATTACAAGATTTCTAATATTTTTCATATAAAGGCAAGATTGCTGAAATCTGTATGTTATAAATAAGAACATGTTGTAATAGTGACTTCATACTTTTCTTCTCAAAAATCTTAAGAAATTGCACTGCAAGTTCAGACAAAAGTTAAAAACAAAAATAAAAGCCTATCTTATAGTAAGCCATGTTGGACTTTTATTCCATATTTTGCTTATGAAAATAGCCTTTAGTTTTTGTAATTATTACTGTAAGTGACTCTTTATCAGGCTGCATCAGCTTTGTGAATGAGTTTTCCAGTTTATAATTCCATGTTCTGTTTGTCACATGTTCTGTAAATGTGATGGTGAGATACTTAGTCTTGAGAGAAACTATTTGAAATTACTAGGAGGAAACACACATACATTTTATACCTCTTTTGGTTCCTCAGAAATGCTTACTTATCCCCAGAGAAAGGAGGTATATTCATAATGTGATGCTGAAAATCAAGAACTTGACAAGTCACCTAACTGGTTGAAAGTGCAAATAGGATTGCTTTAAATTTAACTTTATCAAAAATGACTTTCCAGATTACTGTATTGAATCTTAAACTTTTTTTGAGGTGGCATTGGTTTATGGCATTATATACGCTTCAGATGTGTTGCATTATATGATTGTATGTTACATTGTGATCTCAACCAAAAGTCTAGCTTCATTTGGTTAAATACTGTGTTGTTTATTGTAAAAGAAAGTAGATGGAGATAAACTTAACTGATGGTATTTTCTTTACTTTGTCATTCCATTCCTTTCCCATATTGAGATGTTGAGCTTCCTCAAAACATGGACAGATCTATCTATTGGAGGGGCTGGGAAGGATTTTATCGGATGCTTGTAATATAATTAATGGCCAAATATTTTAGAAATTATTTTCAGCTTAAAGATATTTATCTCTCAACTTATGAAGTACAGTTACTAGTAAAAGTTTATGCAGTAGTTTTCCAACTCTATTATGGAATTGGATAGTTCTTGAAGTGTTTCTTCCCTTTCTTCTTCCACCTGTC